CCTCAGACTGAGGAAGTCTCTTGGATGAGAGACGAAACGTTTCTAGAATTTTTTTGCTTTGTTTTGCTTTTGTTTTTTTGAATGTCCAGAGGACCAGATTGAACTTTTTTGGATATATTGTGACATATATCGATATTGAATTATTGTCCAGCCCTGTTTGGAAGAGCTTCATGGACAAATCTCAACGTCTTGTCATCAAATGCATATGTAACGTGTCTATAAATGTGCTTGCTGGTAGAGTTTTTTGATGTCTTAAATCGTGTCTTGATAAGGACAAGGTGTGAAGAGATCTTTTTTGTAATACCACTATCCTTTCCTCATGGCCTTTTCCCCTTTTCTATCTAAAAGAATAGGGGCCACGCACTTAGGAGGAGGAGCAATGTGCACTCAGCCCATCTTTAAGATGACTGTATGAACATACTCTCACTGTACTTCGGTGCAATAATAATAAAGCTTATTCTGACTCTAAATTAGGTTTTGCAAACTTTAAGTTTGTTAACAAAATTCCTGAGCTTCCCCTCCCTGGGCTGCCACCTTACCGTGGTGGAGGGGTTTGAGTGTCCCAATGATCCTAGGAGCTATGCTGTCAGGGGCTTTATGCCCCTAGTAGGGTCACCCATGGCAGACAGGTCCTAGGTGAGGGACCAGACAAAGTGTAGCCCAATGACCCCGATGATGAGACAAAAAAATGGACCTAGTGTTCCCTTGCCCGGACGTGGGTCACCGGGGCACCACTCTGGAGCCAGGCCTGGAGGTGGGGCACGCGGGCGGGGACAGCCCGAAGAGGAGACGTGGGTCCCCCTTCCCATGGGCTCACCACCTGTGGGAGGGGCCAAAGGGGTCAGGTGCAATGTGGGATGGGTGGTGGCCGAGGGCGGGGACCCTGGCGGTCTGATCCTCGGCTACAGAAACTGGCTATTGGGACGTGGAATGTCACCTCACTGGTGGGGAAGGAGCCTGAGCTGGTGTGTGAGGCTGAGCGGTTCCGGCTAGAAATAGTCGGGCTCACCTCTACGCATGGCTCGGGCACTGGAACCAGTTTCCTTGAGAGGGGCTGGACACTCTTCCACTCTGGAGTTGCCCCTGGTGAGAGGTGCCGAGCAGGCGTGGGCGTACCTATTGCCCCCCAACTTGGTGCCTGTGTGTTGGGGTTCACCCCAGTGAATGAGAGGGTGGCCTCCCTCCGCCTACGTGTGGGGGGATGGGTTCTGACTGTCGTTTGTGCTTATGTACCAAACGGCAGTTCAGATTATCCACCCTTTCTGGAATCCTTGGAGGGGGTACTGGAAAGTGTACCTCCTGGGGACTCCCTTATTCTGCTGGGGGACTTCAATTGCTCATGTGGGCAATGACAGTGAGACCTGGAGGGGTGTGGTTGGGAGGAACGGCCCCCAATCTGAACCAGAGTGGTGTTCTGTTGTTGGACTTCTGTGCTCGTCATGGATTGTCAATAACGAACAACTTGTTCAAGCATAAGGGTGTCCATATGTGCTCTTGGCACCAGGACACCCTAGGCCGCAGTTCGATGATCGACTTTGTCATCGTCTCATCTGATCTGCAGCCACATGTCTTGGACACTCGTGTGAAGAGAGGAGCTGTCAACTGATCACTACCTGGTGGTGAGTTGGCTCCGATCGTGGGGGAGGATGCCGGTCAGACCTGGCAGACCCAAACGTGTTGTGAGGGTTTGCTGGGAATGTAGATGAACAGATGCTGAGATATATTCGGCAATTAAAACGGATTCTTTCATTTTTCTGGACTGTATATAAACGTGCATTGAATTTAATAAAATGTAACGTGAGACGTTATTTATCTTTGACCCATCAAAATGAATGTGGTCATTTATTTACAGAATCAAAGTTTAACATCAAACATTTACATTAATTTGGCAAAACATGAAAATAACAACATAACTAATCAGCTTTACAGGTAGTGAGAAACAATATGGCGATTGTTTTCACTTTTCAGCAGAACAGCAGACATCAAATCACACGGCGGTGATTGAGAACTTTGCTTCAGACATTTCTAAAAATATCTGTCAATGATTTCTACTTGATAGAAGAATTTTTAAAGATGGAAAGATGAAGTTTAGTGGGAGTGAAAGATGGATGAGGGAGAATGTGGTGTGTATGAGTGAAAAGTGTTGACAGGACGACACCCTCCATCCGACCCAGCTTTCCTCGGTACGCTCGGTAGTGGACTAGACTCATTTACCTCTCTGACGATGAATCAGCGGAAGAGGAGCTCCAGTTAACGCTACCTTTCAGCGTCTCCGTAGGATGGCAGAGATATATCCGGAGTGGTGACGGGACTTCGTCAACAACAGTTCACCTCAACGGGTGGACTTCACATGAGTGGGGTTCTTCAGAAGTTCCACTTAGAGGTGGAAGATGTTATAATCCCAATCTCGGAAGAGCCTTATCATGGCTGGACTTCTGTTCTCCCAAACGACTGGAGCTGCAAACTCTCCAGCCCGACTCCAACGGCAACTGCGACCCAACAGCAACTTCACAGAACTGCCACTTCACAGAACTGGGAGAACTAGGAAGTACCGACATTTTAAAGAGCTCTATTTCCGGTTCATTTGGGAGTTTTCTTATTGGTCAATGTCGACCAGACAGGGGTGTGTTTTGTGACGCAAAAGGTTACTAGGAGTCAGAAAATAGCAAGAATGTTATGGAACAGATTGAAGATGTTTTCAGAGACAGAGAGAGAAATGTTTGGACGAGTTTGGAGAAACAGGTGCCAGCTTCTCTGTTTAAGTCTGAGAGGATTTAAAAACAAGGCAGTTCGTTCCAACACTTGTCTGCTTCGACTCCGACCTTGGAGAAAACTTACACTTGCTCATTCACAGACAGAAAATCAGAAAATGCATAATTACTCTGTAACAGGCCTTAACATGAATTCTAACTTTGCATAAGCAACTAAAAAATCATTATACTGTTTCACAGTTAATAAAAATTGATTAGTTCACTGCAACATCTAAAATGGTTTGAACTAAAACACTTTGATTATCAACATTTGTAAAATAGTAATGATAATAGAAAAGAGAGTGTTCTTTCACTTGTAGTTTCAATAAAGAAAGTCTCAGGATGAGTCAACCTGTATTTCTGGATTCAAATCAATGAAATGACAGTTTTGACATCAGGTCAAGTTCACTACAGGAACGTCTGGCAGAGTCTCCTGTGAGACGGAGTTTCAACTCCCACCTCCGGGAGAACTTTGAACATGTTCCGAGGGAGGTGGGGGACATTGAGTCTGAGTGGACCATGTTTCGTGACTCTATTGTCGAGGCGGCTTACCAGAGCTGCGGCCGCAAGGTTGTCGGTGCCTGTCGCGGTGGCAACCCTCGAACCCGATGGTGGACACCGTCGGTGAGGGATGCTGTCAGGCTGAAGAAGGAGTCCTATCGGGCCTTTTTGGCCTGTGGGACCCCGGAAGCAGCTGATGGGTACTGGCAGTCCAAGCGACATGCGGCTCGGGTGGCTGCTGAGGCAAAAATTCGGGCATGGGAGGAGTTCGGAGAGGCCATGGAGAACGACTTCCGCACGGCTTCGAGGCGATTCTGGTCCACCATCTAGCGTCTCAGGGGGGGGAAAGCGGTACGCCACCAACACTGTTTATAGTGGGAGTGGTGTGCTGCTGACCTCAACTTGGGATGTTGTGGGTCGGTGGGCAGAATACTTTGAAGACCTCCTCAATCTCACCGGCACATCTTCCACTGAGGAAGCGGAGCCTGGGGACTCTGGGTCGGGCCCTCCAATCTCTGGTGCTGAGGTCACAGAGGTGGTTAAAAAGCTCCTCGGTGGCAGGGCCCCAGGGGTGGATGAGATTTGCCCGGAGTTCCTTAAGGCTCTGGATGTTGTAGGGTTGTGTTGGCTTACGCGACTCTGCAATAATGCGTGGACATCAGGGGCAGTTCCCCTGGATTGGCAGACCGGGGTGGTGGTCCCCCTATTCAAAAAGGGCGACCGTAGAGTGTGTTCCAACTACAGGGGAATCACGCTCTTAAGCCTCCCTGGTAAGGTCTATTCGGGGGTTCTGGAGAGGAGGGTTCGTCGGATAGTCGAACCTCGGATTCAGGAGGAGCAGTGCAGTTTTCGTCCTGGTCGTGGAACACTGGACCAGCTCTACACTCTCAGCAGGGTCCTGGAGGGTGCATGGGAGTTTGCCCAACCAGTCTACATGTGCTTTGTGGACTTGGAGAAGGCGTTCGACCGCGTCCCTCGGGGGACCCTGTGGGGGGTACTCTGGGAGTATGGGGTACCGGGCCCTTTGATACGGGCTGTTAGGTCCCTGTATGACCGGTGTCAGAGCCTGGTCCGCATCGCCGGCAGTAAGTCGGGCTTGTTCCCAGTGAGAGATGGACTCCGCAAAGGTTGCCCTTTGTCACCGATTCTGTTCATAACTTTTATGGACAGAATTTCTAGGCGCAGCCAAGGTGTTGAGGGGATCCGTTTTGGTGGCCTTAGGATTGCGTCTCTGCTTTTTGCAGATGATGTGGTCTTATTGGCTTCATCAGATCGTGATCTACAGCTTTCGCTGGAGCGGTTCGCAGCCGAATGCGACGCGGCCGGGATGAGGATCAGTTCCTCCAAATCCAAGACCATGGTCTTGAGCCGGAAAAGGGTAGAGTGACCTCTCCGGGTCAGGGGGGAGGTCCTACCTCAAGTTGAGGAGTTCAAGTATCTTGGGGTCTTGTTCACGAATGAGGGACAAATGGAGCGTGAGATCAATAGGCAGGTAGGTAGGTATCAATAGGTGCAGCATCTGCAGTGAAGCGGGCACTGTACAGGTCTGTCGTGGTGAAGAGAGAGCTGAGTCAAAAGGCGAAGCTCTCAATTTACCGATCGATCTACGTTCCTACCCTCATCTATGGTCACGAGCTTTGGGTTGTGACCGAAAGAATGAGATCTCGGATACAAGCGGCCGAAATGAGTTTTCTCCGTGGGGTGTCTGGGCTCTCCCTTAGAGACAGGGTGAGAAGCTCGATCATCCGGGAGGGACTCAGAGTAGAGCCGCTGCTTCTCCACGTCGAGAGGAGTCAGTTGAGGTGGCTTGGGCATCTGTTTAGGATGCCTTCTGGACGCCTCCCTGGTGAGGTGTTCCGGACATGTCCCACCGGAAGGAGGCTCAGAGGAAGACCCAGGACACGTTGGAGGGACTATGTTTCTCGGCTGGCCTGGGAACGCCTCGGGATTCCCCCGGAAGAGCTGGCCCAAGTGGCTGGGGAGAGGGAAGTCTGGGCCTCCCTACTTAGGCTGCTACCCCCGCGACCCGACCCCGGATAAGCGGAAGAAAATGGATGGATGGATGGATTCCTGAGCTTGTTCCTGTCTCTAGTGGGCATCTCAAAACGTCCGTTAGACATGCTATTGGCCAACGATGTCTACGAATGACAAGACATGATTGGTCGACGCAGCGTCAACTGGAAGGAGCCAAAGATGTGAGCTGCAGACTAAGTGACAGTCGTCCAAGCAGTTAGCGGTTTAGCGTTAGCGATGGCTAATTTTTTTTATCCATTTTGCGTTAGCAAAACTAATTTTTTTAGTTAGAGAAATATGGGTAAGCGAAACTAACTTTTTGGTTAGCTGTGCCCACTCCGGTTTTGTGTTACAGTGTTTATTACAGTAGCATTGGTGTGTTAGCATTTGTTAGTGTGTATTGTGTTACAGAGTTTGCTACAATGTGTATTAAATGAAAGCTGAATGTTTTCCTGTGTCACGAAGCATCTCTACGTACAAATGGCGTTCTTCGGCTGGAAGATCTCTTTGTATTGTTCAGCATTGTGAATCTCTGCTGATAAGTGTTTCTCCTCAACCTCGTCTTCATTCGGACTTTGTCTCTCTCCTTCAGGACTCCTCCTGTCAGCCTCTGAGCGCTGACTCACCCTGATGACATCACAACATGAGACAGAGTGACATCATGCACCTGTGAAGCATCAATGTAGAAATCAATCCCTCCACATTTCTGTAATTTGTTTTGTGGTTTATGTAGCCTAAAATTACCCATTTTACATGAGCTTTTACAAAAAGTTGTGATCAAAAATAAAACAAGAAAAGAGACAAATGAATTTTCAAAAATGTCTTGAAGTAACATCAAAGTTCATGCTCAATAATCCCGGTAAAATTCCAACAAAGTTAAGTCAAGTCCTCTGGACGGTTTCTTTTTGTCTTAAAGTCATACTTTCAAGTGAGGCACGATATTTCTACAATAATATTTTTTAAAGTGCCAACTAGTTCTCCAGATCTGTTTTGTTTTATAAAAGAGCTTCTCAAGCAACATTTTTTGTCTCTGTTCCAGCACAACGTTGTGTGTGATCCAAAATGGTTTTCCATTATTTGCATAAATTGCATCAATAAATATCCTGATGCATGCTCAATAATCCAGGTAGAAAAATCCAAAAAAGTTCAATCTGGTCCTCTGGACATTCAAAAAAACAAAAAACAAAAATCTCAGGAAGTCCAACATTTTACTGACCACATCAACTCTGTGGATAAATACATCAAGTTCACACAAGAAGATGTAAAAAATGGCAAGTTGGCTTTCTTGGACTGTGAGGTCTCAGTCTCTGATAGAGGACATTTGTAAACCGAGGTGTACCGCAAACCCACCCACACAGACCAGTATTTGCAGTTTGACTCCCATCACCCTTTGGAGCACAAGTTAGGAGTCATCAGGACTCTGTATCACAGAGCAGACAGC